TGAGTTTTACGTCCTTTCTCCTCTGCACCAGCTCTGGGGAGGCCTAGGGCATGCCGTCCTCTGAGAGGGGTGCAAAGAGGAACCCCGGATGGGTCCCAGAGGCTCATCGTCAGGAGAGGAATTCTGCCAAAGCACACCCCAGGCATCCCCACTGCTGGGATTGAGACTGCACCCCAGCACAGGAGACGGAGAGTTACACACGCCCTAGGATGCACCCAACACAGGGCAAGGAGGGGTACACTGCCCCTAGGAGATCACTGGACTGTCCTGAGTGGGGGGCGCATCCCTGAAGGGAATGATGCAGGAGAAACCTGCCGAGGCCACACCTGCAGGAGATGCTGGAGGTTCCGAAACCCCAGCCCTTGTGCTGGATGTGAGAGCTTCTCCACTCCATGGGTAATGATCTCAAAGCATGCCTTCCCAAGGTTTCCCCAAGCCCAAGTGCAGATCTGCCCCAGGACACTGCCGTCAGATGACCCACAGCTCCTCACCCCGCCCCCACTCCCCGCCACCCCATGGCTTCCTGCTGCTCCTCAAACTGATCACTCCTCCATAAAGTCCCCGTCAGGATTCTGTTCTTTCCCTCCCAGTTCCTCCAGCTCCTGAAGTGAGTGAGCAAAAGTCGCTCAGTTACATCTGACTCTTTGTGACCCCATGGACTATACAGTCCACGGAATTCTCCAAGCCAGAATACTGGAGTGGGTAGCCTTTCCTTTCTCCAGGGGATCTTCCCAACCCAGGGATCAAACCCAGATCTCCCACATTGCAGGCAGATTCTTTACCAGCTAAGCCACCAGGGAAGCCCAAGAATACTGGAGTGAGTAGCCTATCCCTTCTCCAGTGAATCTTCCCAACCCAGATCTCCCACACTGCAGGTGAATTCTTTACCAGCTGAGCCATCCTCCAGCTCCTGGCCCTGCTTCATTTCCCTTCGGAGCACGCACTTGGGTCCTTGTCTGTGGTCAGAAAGCTCCATGAGGCTATATCCCCCTCACGGCTACACCCCCAGCTAGCTGCTGGGGCCTGGCACATGGTAGTATTAATAAATACTGGCTGAATGAATGAACGAATGAATGAACGAACTTCCTTTACATACCACGCACTTGCCCTATTGATGGTTTTATCCTTCTGGGTGCGTGTGTATACACACGGTGACTCTGAGGAGGTAAGAAGTGAGGTTAGGCTAGGGGCCAGAATGCCCAGTGACCACAGCCGTGGTCTGTCAAACAGGCTGGAAACGTCTGCTGCTGTGTTAAAAAGCCCACCAAGGCTTCCCTGGTGACTCAGTGGTAAACAGTCCCCCTGCCAATGCAGGAGACACAGGTTCGATGCCTGGTCTGGGAAGAACCCACATGCCAAGGGACAACTAAGCCCGTGAGCTGCAACTACCAAAGGCCTGGTTTCCTAAAGCCCGCGGTCCACAACAAAAGCTACCGCAATGAGAAGCCTGTGTACCACAACTGGAGAGTAGCCCCCACTCACCGCAACTGGATAAAGCCCTCGCGCAGCTATAAATGCTTAAGTAAACAAATCTTTAAAAAGCCCACCAATATGGCAAGACCCCCAACTGAAGGGTCAGCTCTGCAGGTGGCCTCCTGGTCAACAGCCCTGGCAAAGGAAAGGCCACCACTATCAAGAGGCTGGTGGTGCAGGCCAGCCGGGTAGCCGTGGGCCCAGCCTTCCCACGGTCGGGAAGATAAGTGATGCTTATCTACGCACCAGTGTTACCTGTATTTCTGGATGGTGTGCCCGAGCCAGGTAATCAGTCTGTTTCCCACAGTGTCCAGCACGTAAGGGAGGGTTGCTACCACTCCTAGGAGCTCACATGTACTGTCATCAGGCCCTCCTAAACATGTGACAGCTCACTTTAGCCTCCAAGTGGCCCAAGAAATGCGTGCTATTAGGACCCCATTTACAGATAAAGCTTAACTAAAGCATAGCGGCCTGTTCTCTGGGGTCTATGGACACTTCCATAGTATGGCGGAAAGAATACAAGATTAAGCATGAGAGGACAGGGCCTCTGGTCCTGGCGTCAGCTGCCAAGTCCTGTTGTGAGACTGCTAATCTCTCAGGGTATCTATGAGGCAAGAGAGCACCTAACAAATTCATAATATGACACAAATGAGCTGGCACCGGTGTTATTTAAGGGTACGCTGATTCTGGTGATTTCTCAGCTGTTTCCTTTAGGAGGGGGTAACGGAAACCCCACGCCTAGGGAGGCACAGCTAAAAGTGGATACAGTTGTAGCCACAGAGGGTGGGGGGAGGCGTTTCAGGATCCCCCACGGAAACCAAAACCTGCAGACACTCAAGTACCCTGATAGCCAGCCCTGGGACTACAGGGACTCAACCAACGGCAGATCCTGTAGAATGCTGGATCGAAGGCTGGCTGAATCTGAGGATACAGAAGCCGTAGATAAGAGACCCAACTGTATTCTCCTTGGAAAAGGTGCTGCTGATGAAGGCCGGAACATGACAGAGCTGCGGGACTCAGGGTCTGCAGAAAACAGGTCCACAATAAATAGGACCTTGAAACAAATTTTAAAACAAAGCTAATTAAGTATACAAAATTATCTGGCAGAGCTGCAAATCAACCAATTGCTATTGAAGGAGGGAAAGGATACAATGTGTAAAACAACACAGTATCGAAGTGATGAGGTAGAGATAATTCTTCACTTAGAATATATTTTAATGCAATGGGGGCCCCACATTTTCAGTAATGTTTTGCAAATTATTAAAAACACAACCACAAACACTGGTAAAGTATCTTCCCTGAGAACCAAGCTTGTTTTAAAAATATCCTCCAAATGAAACAGTGAACTACCCGCTGCTTCTCATGGATGGTTAACTGTGAGGTGAATGAGGTCAAATATTCCTCAGGGTAAGTTACAGCCAGGCTGTGGGGACCTTCATTGAGGAGGCCTGGGGAGGGGTCATCTGCAGCATACAGAGCTGCCCTGAACCTTTTCTCTGAACAAAAAATCTGTGCCCCACCAACCCCACCCTAGCAGGACCTCCACCCCCACACTGGCAGTCTCACCCCCAGACCCACAAGGCCCCTGCTACCCTTCCAGGCAGCCCGCAAAGCATCTGAGCAAAGCAGGGATCCCACCCACTCCCACAAAAGCCCCTTCTGCTTTGGGACCTTCTCGCCTTTGGGACACCAGACCAGCAAGTCCAGGCACACCTAAAACAGGCAGGAAGTAAAAGAGAGGGGCTGGCAGGAGGGAGCACTTACAAAAAGTTGGCTCTGAGAATAAAGAAAACCCTGATTTGGATAAACCGAGAGACAGTGAAGTGTGGCCTGAAAGCAGCCAAAAGGAAACTGGAAGACTTTTTAAAAAGTCTTTTCTCCAAACAGAAAATCTCTGAGAAGGCACTGGGATTCCTGGTTGCCAGGAAGATAATTTCATCATTGGGGAGGGTGGGGTGTTGGGCAGGAGGAGATGGGGTGCTGGGTGAGGGAGGAGGCAGAGCCAGGGGCCCTGAGCCACAGTGGAGTACCTAGAAAGACCCCACCCTACACACCCTAGGGGGTCCCAAGCCCCACCGGGCACACACCTAGGAGAAAAGGCAGGGACAGCAAAAACCTCAGGAGAGACCCTTCTGTACAAGGCGGCGGGGCAGGCGGTAGGGGGGTGGGTGGTAGTGGTGGTGGTGGGGAACGCTGAACACATACCAAGCTTGAACCAAGATCTCCTTCAAGATCCCAATCACCTTCAAACTATCCCCAGATCAAGGTCAGCTTCCCACTGGCAATAAAAGTGAGTCACCCTCCCCCTCGGCAGCTCCAAAGGTCAGAGAAGGCTATACTTTTTCCCTGAAGACTGACTCTTAGGAGGGAGGTGGGCTCAGTCAAGACAGCTACTATGCACACAGGAAAGACCCCCAAGGGCCCCTCTGCAGCCTCAGGCTCCCACCTCTCCGAAGAAATGCTGCCGCCCATCTTTTAACTCCCCCAGGTTGATTTAGGGTTATTGGTAGTAGGGAGCTGGGCAGGAGACATTCAGAGTGGGAAGCCGGCCCTTGCAGAATTTTATAGCTCAATTCGAAGGTAAATCACTCTGGGCCAGAGAACTGACTCCACATAGATTTACCCGTTTTAATATTTGTTTGGGGGCATTGCAATTAATTGAAAGATGCCTTCTTCCATTTACAGTTCTGAAATGTTGGACCTTGGTCTCTGAGCACTCATTTTTATTGAGCATAATTACGATCATTTGTCAGGAGTCCTCATTCCCAGGGAACAGAGCTCTCCACAGTCACAGGCCCACCTGAGCTCCCAACAACCAGAATCGATTCTTCCTGAAGAAACCTGATCAAGGTACAGATCCTACAAGTTTGCTAACCTGAGAGTCTCCAGGGGTTATCAGATTCTGTCCTTGGGGTCCTGGGGGCTGCAGGGAGAGAAGCCAGAGGATGAGAGGAAGATGCTGACCATCTCCCTATGAGACCTAGTCATCCCACCTCCCTCTGCACATCAGGCCACCAGTGAGCAGCACGGAGCAGGTAAGAACATGAACTCTGGAGCCAGACTGCTAAACTCGCAGCTTGCCTTTGCCACTTATTCACTGTGTGACCTTAGGCAAGTCATGTAACCTCTCTGTTAACTGTCTCAATTCTCTCATCTCCAAAACTGGAATGGTAACAATATCCATCTCACAGGGTTTTTATAAGAATGAAAACCAGTTGATAATTTAAAAGTACTTGGTAGAGCGCCTGGCATAAGCTCTAGAGGAACTGATTTATTGTAAATCAGTAAAATCAATTGATTTCTTGGTAAATTGATCTGTTTTATTGGTAAAGTTATTTGAAGAAAGAACCGTGCAGCTAAAATGAAGTTTGAAAATCATTATTTTTATGCCAGGGGTCTACAGACTTTCTGTCAAGTGCCAGAGAGTTCATATTTTAGGCTTTGTGGGCCATGTGGCTCTTGCCGCAACCAGCAGAAGGCAACTACAGATGTATTTAAAGCAAAAGACATGACTGTGCTCCAGTAAGATGTCACTTAGGAAAACAGACGTTGGGCTAGCTTGGTCTGCAGGCTGTAGTTTGCTGACCCCTGGACTGGACCAAACTGTCTGTTGCACAGATGAGGAGAACACAGTGGGGAGTTATCTGACAAAGCTGGAACCCAGCTCCCTCCAGGCCAAGGCACGCTCTAAAATCAAGAGCCCCGGGAGGGAAAAGAGAAGTCGACCCTGCGTGCAGAGCGAATGGGCCCCTACCGTCTCACCAGCAGCAGGACACCAGAGAACAAGGGATCCGAGGCCACTGCTGTCCATCCGCCATACGGCCTGGGCTCCCCCGGAGATGGGCACGGGCCAGGGTGTCTTCCCGTTCGTCGCTGTGGCCCAGTGCTGGCTCTTGCCACAGCAGAGCTGCTCCGGGAAGGCCAATAACCATGGCGAGCCCTGCCGGGGGACGCCTCCTGCCCCGCAAGGCCAAGTGCCTACCTGCCTGTACCTCAGCCAGTTCTGGGAGTGACTGATGAAATGAAGATGCCCACATACCTGTGACAAGGGGAAGCCACTTTTTAAAGGGTTAGAATATAAAAGGGACATTTATTAACTATAACTGTGTTTAAAGGATTCAAAGTTTTATAGACATTTCTTTTTTTCACCTGCATATAAAAGATTGCAAGAGGATGAACTCTAAACCTCGGTGAAGGTCTGTGAGAAGGCAGGACATTCCTCTCCTCCTGTGGTTTAAAACATGGACCCCAAATCTCTGACACCACCTCCCCCCCAACCAAGAAGTAGGGTTTATGTCCCTTCCTCTTGAATCTGGCCTTGGTGGCTGTTGCAAGGATGGTACATGAAACATGAAAGAGACACTCAGGTTTCCAGACCAAGCCTTTGGGAAATCGCAGCCTCTCCCTCCTGTTTCTTGGGACGTTCCCTTTGGAAGCTAGCCACCATGCTTTGAGGAAGCCCATGAGGCCCCGTGGAGAAGCCCCATGGAGGCGAAGCCAACACAACTCGCCAGCCTCAGAAACAAGCCGTCTAGGAAGTGGATCTTCCAGCCTTGGTAGAGCGATCCCAGCCAATGCCACATGGAGTAGACGTGAGTCGTACCTACTGAGCCCTAACCAAGTGGTAGGCTCCTAAGCAGAATAAAAGATTAACACTGTTTAAGGCACTAGGTTTTAGGATTGTTTCTTACACAGCAATAGTAACCAGACTAGGCTTCTTAATTTCCATCATTTGATCAGGCCACAAAGCTATCTACCCTTACAGATAACACAGCAAAATTTTCTTTCATTTGTTAGGATTTCGGGGGATAGGGTAGGAATGCAGACCCCAGATTTAATGTTGTTAAAAAACATAAGTGATATGTGCTCTATAATAAAAAATACATTTTTAGTCTTCAACCAGTCCTGACATAGAGCTCCTAAAACGCTTGGAATTTATAAGAGTTATAAAGGTGCCTTGATATTCAAAACAAATCCCTTCCACCACAACTAGGCTTATGTTAATGAGGTGACTTTTGGAAACTTAAGGATGGGAGCTGGTTGCCAGGGGAACCATGTTGACTGGAGGAGAGGAAATTTTCGTCCCATCCCTGACCTCCAGGGAGAGAGACTGGAGGTTGAATCAACTGCCAATGGCCAATGATATAATCAAGCATGTCTAAATAATGAAGCCTTCCTAATATCCCCCAAGAAGATGGGGTTGAGAGTGCTTCCAGGTCGGTGGACATCTGGAGATTTGCAGAGACGCGTGCACTCCAGCAAGGCATGGGAACTCTGAGCCCTCTCCCCATACTCTGCCCTTCACACCTCTTCCACCTGACTGTTTCTGAAACTCAGCAAGTAAAATGTTTCTCTGAGTCCGTGAGCGGCTAACAAATGGGCAGGACCCAGGGAGAGGGATCACTGAAAGCCAGTCAGAAGCATAGCATCTGAAGCTTGGGGTGGGAGACTGAGCCCTTAACCTGTGGGATCTGATGCTGTCCCCAGGTAGGTAGAGTCAGAACTGAGTTATATTGTAGGACACACAGCTGGTGTCAGAGAATGCCTGGTGGTGTACAAAACCCACACACACATTGTACTGGGAGCAGAACTGCAAGGAGCTAAGATAGTTGAGGGTAGAATAAAGAAAAAGTAGGTCTCAGAAGGCTCTGAAGATAGGACAAACATTTTTATCTAAAAAAAAAAGGAATTTTGAATCCGCATAAGCACATCAACAAATTTGAGAATGAGACCCCAGAGTCCCAATCTACATACAAGACCACTGGTGGGAGAAGTCCTAATTTCAAATACGCAAATGCACGTCCTGATTTCTGGGTCAGAAAATATGGTCAACAACACAACAGGGAAGAGAATATTTTGGCCTGAAAATGTTGAGTCCGGTGGTACAAGTGATTGCCTCAGTTTCAACATAACTCTTCTAGATGATCAGAATTTACTCAAATAGACAAAGTTAAACTTTGTCACCAGGATGAATTAGCTCTAAAATGAAGCCCTCAGTTAACTTAGACAAGAGTATTTATCACTGGTTGGAGAAAGGATGTCAAACAGAACATTCTTTATTGCAGCACATTTGATGCTAAGATGATTTTTCTGACAAATACATTAACTGTCATTGTGCTAAAGTTATTTGGGTACTGATTAAGTTTCTGGTCTCACTTTCATGCATTGGAGAAGGAAATGGCAACCCACTCCAGTATTCTTGCCTGGAGAATCCCAGGGATGGGGGAGCCTGGTGGGCTGCCATCTGTGGGGTCGCACAGGGTCGGACACGACTGAAGCGACTTAGCAGTAGTAGCAGTAAGTTTCTGGGGGCTTCCCTGGTGGCTGAGCGGCAAAGAATCAGCCTGTGGATGCAGGAGACACAGGTTTGATCCCTGGTCTGGGAAGATCCCACATGCCGAGAAGCAACCAAGCCTGTGCACAAATACTGAGTTTGCACTCAAGAGCCCAGGAGCCACAAGTACCGAGCCCACAAGCTCCAGCTACTGAAACCGGAGCACCCTAGAGCCCGTGCTCCGCACCAGGAGAAGCCACTGCAATGAGCAGCTTACGCGCTCCAAACAGAGAGTAGCCTCTGCTCGCCACAACTAGAGAAGAGCTCACACAGCAGGGAGGACCCAGCACGGCCGAAAATAAACAAAAATAACTTTTTTTAAAAAAGAAGAAGTTTCCGGTTATCAAAATCCTGGATAACAGAAATTATTGTTTAAAAGGCTAAATTTGCTTTTGAAAGAAACCATGTATTATCTATATAAGAAAGGATTCTTTGCTTTACAAAAATATTTACTCAGGTTTTCTTTAGGTAATAACCTCCTTTCATGATAGCTTCCCTGATAGCTCAGTTGGTAAAGAATCCACCTGCAATGCAGGAGACCCCAGTTCGATTCCTGGGTTGGGAAGATCCGCTGGAGAAGGGATAAGCTACCCACTCCAGTATTCTTGGGCTTCCCTTGTGACTCAGCTGGTAAAGAATCCGTCCCACAATGTAGGAGAAGAAAACCCACGGAGAATACCCACTCCAGTATTCTGGCCTGGAGAATTCCATGGACTGTATAGTCCATGGGGTCACAAAGAGTTGGACACAGTTGAGTGACTTTCACTTTCCTTTCATATGTACAATAAGTACATCATATGTATATAAGTTTTGTGTAAATCAATACTTAGAAACCAGCATTTGTTACATGAAAAGAGGTAGCCTTGGGCTAAAATCAGTCATGTATTATTCAGAACTCACCCAGTGCCAAGTGACAGAAACCCAACCCAAACTTGATTTTGGCAGCATTTCCCCCAAATTCATCACCTTGGAGTTTTCTATCCTAGCTGGGTACCAGTATAACATCATTGTTGACTTTGTTAACTTTTTATTAAATTAAGTTTCCTGCTAAGCAATAATGAAATCACAAGTTTCATATACTAGTGACATATTCTTTCTTCAATGCACATTTAAAATGAATATGTGGCTTCCTAGATAAGTCGACTGAAAATCAGCCTATATTCCCCAACAGTGAATGCTACACTTTAAGGCAGAGAAAGGAGGTTTACTGAATGGAGAACCAGCCCTTAATTTCTTTTCTCACTGACTCGTGTGGTATGTGATCTTGGCCAAGTCACCTAGCTTCGCCCGCTTCAATTCCCGCATTAGAAGAAGTGCATTAGCCCTGTCCACTCCCACTCTTCACAAGAGTGCCGGGGTAGCTTTTCCTTTTCCGGTAAGCGGCCTGATCTGACCCTTGAAAATGGTGCGCTATTCACTCGACCCAGAAAACCCCACAAAATCATGTAAATCAAGAGGTTCAAATCTTCGTGTTCACTTTAAGAACACTCGTGAGACTGCCCAGGCCATAAAGGGTATGCATATCCGAAAAGCCACCAAGTATCTGAAGGATGTCACTTTAAAGAAGCAATGTGTGCCATTCCGTCGTTACAATGGTGGAGTTGGTAGGTGTGCACAGGCCAAACAGTGGGGCTGGACGCAGGGTCGGTGGCCCAAAAAGAGTGCTGAATTTTTACTACATATGCTCAAAAATGCAGAGAGTAATGCTGAACTTAAGGGCTTAGATGTAGATTCTCTGGTCATTGAGCACATCCAAGTGAACAAAGCCCCCAAGATGCGGCGCAGGACTTACAGAGCTCACGGTCAGATCAACCCCTACATGAGCTCTCCCTGCCACATTGAGATGATCCTTACTGAAAAAGAACAGATTGTTCCTAAACCAGAAGAGGAGGTTGCACAGAAGAAAAAGATATCCCAGAAGAAACTGAAAAAACAAAAACTTATGGCCCGGGAATAAATGCTGCAGAAAATAAATGCAAATAAAAGTAAAAAAAAAAAAAAAAAAAGAGTGCCAGGGTAATAACCCTGGTGCCTCTGACGGCCGCCCATCCACAGCAGTCCGGGTCCTCAGGGTGTCCTCAGCCACTAGGATCGGAAGGCTTCATCCCCGCTGCCTGAATGCTGGAGCCAGAGAGGTTGGGCTTCCATATCTACAGAGATCATGAGCAGGCAGCTGGGGAACTGCGAACTCTGAAAGACACTCATCTGCTTTTCTGGTTTTAAAATCTATTCCAGATGCATTAAGTAAACTTGACTCTAATGAGGTAACTAAAATCATTAAGACCCTGTGGGGATAAAGCAGGGGTCGGGCTGCCAGAGGATTAAAACCAGGCCCCCAGGACTGTCCACAAGCAGCCCAGCCCACACCGCCCTTGTCCTTACCACGCTGCGTTCAGCCTGTGCAATCCTAGAACCAGGCCACCACCCCCTCCTCACCACCACCCTCGCTTGCCATCTATCTGGGTCTTGTGGGGAATGGAAACAAGACAAGGCAAAAGCAGCAGAGGTCTTTGGCTCAACGTGGGCTCTTAAGGTGTGCTGCCCCCGTGGTTGGATTCTCTCTGGTATGAATGAGTTTGCAGTCAACCTAGAGGCAGAAAACACATCACATCACTTATCAGCAACACTCTCCCCACACCCTTTGGCTGATATAACTCAAAGCCTGCAGCCTTAAGAGAC